TGTGTGTGTGTGTGTGTGTGTGTGTGTGTGTGTGTGTGTGTGTGTGTGTGTGTGTGTGTGTCAAAAAGCTTTTTAAATATATCAGTTGAAAAAAATGTCATATGCAGAAATGTATTCATTCATTCATTTATTTACTTCACCAGTTATCCTGTTCAAGGCTCCAGGAGCCCATCTCAGCTCTGATAGGGTGAGGGGCTATACCTGCCCCCCCTTCAACAAGGTGTTTATACAGAAAGTGTAAACACAGAGAAACAGCTACAGTATTTTACTCTCTTCTAAGGGTATAAAATGCCTATCTGGGCTTATATCTTAATGGTAGCACAAAATGAAGCACATAGGAGGCTCCACGTACGTACCTCAAAGAACAATACTGTTTTTGGAAGTTGGAAGATCTGACCTGATTTTCATGCATTTGTACACTGTTATTCAGAAAGTATTGATGCACAATATTTAACATTTGATGTTTCTGTTGCCTTTTGTTTTTTGTTTTTTTTTAACTTGGTACTGTTAGATAACAGTGATAACAGTGAAATCTGCATTCTCTATTTACCCAGTGAAACCAGATACATCCAGGTCTGAAGTAAAATTCATTTGCAGCAGCTGAAGTTAAATAACGAGAAGTGCCAGTTTTAGGTGTTTTTTCCCTTCTTATGCACATAAAAATGTTCCCCATATTCCCCAGTCAGGACACCTTAAAACTCACTGTTGGTTGCTGCTGATGAAGTTACAGTTAAAACCCTGTTTCCTCATTTTACATGATCCTCAGGCCTGAACCCTTCAGAGTGGTAGAAGCCTTTTGGGCTTTTAGCTAGATAAAGTCAATAAAGCAGACATCTGAAAATCCATATCAGATTTTACTGCCCGTACTGAACCACAGCAGTGTAATGCTATCGAATGAGCAAACCACTTGATGCTGACATGTCAGGGTATTTCCAGTATATTCTGACTACACGACAGATAACCCAGGAACAAATGAACGTATATTGAAAAGTAACAACTTGCATTTAACTATGACAACTATAAATGACAATTGTGATTCCTATTTCTGTATATGACACTGTCTGTGTTTTTTTAGGACTAAATGTTAAAACATTTGCCCAGGCTTAAAATACAAAAAGTATTTAGAAATTAAAATACATAAACATCTTTCAGCTGAGATAAATCTTTTTTATGCCAATTGGCTTCAGAAAATCCTGATATGATATGAATGACAAAAGTAATGTATGCTATATGTGCACATGTTTAAAAAGCAAGACCATAAATATAGAGGTTAGGGTCTGTTCAGTATGGTTAATGGTTAATGCTTTTCTTTTTTTAAATACATAGAGGATGCTGTTATAAAATAAAAAAACAAATCAGCCAGTATAAATGTGGAGACTCACTTGTGACGACATTCTTGGAGGCAGGCGGTCCACGTTTGTTGTTCTTCACCACCTCCAGTTTGACCTCGTACTCCTGGCCTGGACCCAGGCCCGATTGCTCAAAGGTGGTCTCCGGTCGGCCCAGGGAGTTCAGAATCTCACCGTCTTCCTCTTTCTGCCAGCACCAACAAAAAAAACCCCCCAACAAAAACCCCCACCAATCAGCACCCACTACAAAGACTTGTCCTGGCATCATGCGTAAAGCAAAAGAGGGGAAAATAAACCAGTCCGATCATACATAAAAGCATTCTGGGTGGCAACTGAATTTAAGAGTTGACAGGGAATTTGGTTTAATAGTATTGAACAAGTCCAAGTAGCCCTGTTTGGAAAGGTTTTATTTTCCTCTAAAAGGAAAATAAAGTGTTAAACAGAGACATTCACTCTGTGCTTTATGGTCACTGGAGCTGTCAGGACTTGCTCACAGTTTTAACTGCTGTGTTTTTGTCTTCTGGCGTGGCTATAGCATTTTTGAGGAAGATTCTAAACTCCATCCTCAAATATGCACATTAATGCACTTAATGATTGGTTTCCCCTGGTGGAAAGTATAAATAATTGCTTAACTACTACGTGGAACACATGAGGTCAGGTAGCAGAACTAACCGTGTTTCTGAAGATGAGGTTCCAGCCATCGAAAGCAATGTCCAATGGATCCCACTGCACCTCCACAGAAGTATCCCGCACTGACTTGAACTTGAGACCCTCAGGCTCAGGAAGATCTGTGAGGGGAAATATGATAACACTCTTACAATTTTTCATCTACATTTATACTAAAATATGCATTTAGAATCTTACACTTACATGTTGCCACCCTAGCAGTGACGGGAACACTCCTCTTATTGCTGAGCACAGCATAGACACTGATCAGGTATTCCACTCCAGGCTCAAGCTCCCTAATAGTGGCCTTCTTGTGGTCCCCAGGTACCCTCATGTCCAACTCTAAGCCTCCAGAGGCCGTGGGCACATAGGTGATTAGGTATTCTGTCACACGCATCTCATTTTCCCAGGATACGTCTACTGTCTCTGGGGTGACCTCCACCACTGTCAGGTCCTTAGGTGGCGACACTGCAGAGAAACATTGAAAATCACTGATCTGCATCAACGCTGAAAACATGCTGACCTCCAAAGTCTTTTTGTTATGTTACTCCTCACTGTCTGCCATGCTATTTGTGGGTGTGACAAACACAGTGTAAAGTGCTCTGTGGAACGAATAACTTTAACCTCTTTATATCCACGTGGATACTGGTGGCTCACAGCAGAGTGGCTGTAGCTCAGAGGTAGAAAAGGTCATCTACTAATTGGAAGGTGGTAGGATCCCTGGCTGCTCCAGTCTGCATGCCTATGTATCCCTGGGCAAGATACTCAATCCCAAGTTTCTCTCCAGTATGTTCATCAGAGGATAAATGTGGGTGAGTGTTAGATAGCAAGGTGTAGAAAAAGGTTGTATGAATTGGCAAATAAGGATGTTATATAGAGTGCTTTGACTACTCCAGCAAGCTAAAAGGCGCTATATAAGAACCAGTCCATCTACCGTTTCACCTAGAGCTTAGTTTGGTTTGGGTAATGTATATATTACCACCATAATGTGACACTTCATTTGATACACCATGTTCTAGTTTTTTTTAAATGTACCTATGCAGCATTTGAAACAAAACCCAAACCTAGCGGGGATGCTGGGGATCAGAGAATTAGTTGGCTAGTCAGTTAAAAATATTCTGTAGTATAATATTATATAATAAGCTCAAGTTATTCATGCCTAGGTATTAGCTAATGAATACCTGTTATCTATTGCCTTCTTCTCCATAGTGTTTATGTAATCAAAGCAAATATCCATTATCTGCTACCCTTAATTATGTTCTACTGCACTACAAGTTATTAACGTAGTTTTAAAAAGAACAAAGAAAACAAAATGAATATATACAAAATACAATACGGTTCCATTATAAGTAAATAATGCCCAGAGAGTGAGCTTTACATTCTTGGAATGCTTCACCTTTGGATTTTGCAGAGTTTGTATTCTTGTTTTTATTTCCATGATTCCATTCTGAGGTTTTTCAGTTTTAGTTATGCCTATTTTGTAATCCACAAGAATTGTTATTATTTCTAAGTTATTAACTAAGTTTCAGTCATCCAGCCTCTCCTGTCTTCCCTGTGTCTTGTTGTTAAGTCTTTGTCATGGTGTTAGATGTTCCATAGTTTAGTTACTTCCTGTTTTATTTTGACATTCTCTTCACTCGTGTTTGTTTTATTTAGTTTTGATTCCCTTGTCTTGATGTCCCTAATTACTTTCTGCTGTATACTCTGGTGTTTTCCATTTCTTTCCTTAACTATGTGTGTATTTAAGTCATTTGTATGCCTTAGTCCTTTGTTGTGTTGTACTGTTTATCTGCCTGTGTGTTATCCCTGATTTGTTCCATTTTGGCTTTATGCATTTTGTTTTCCCCTGATTTTGGACTTTCAGCCTCACCTTAATAAAAGCTTGTTTTTTGTTACTTTTTAAAAAGTTTTATTCTAAACATGAAACTTAGGAAGTTTTTATTAAAGTATTTACTGCCTGGCCTAAACAGATGAACATAAGTAAAAGGTAACACCAGCATACAGTTGATAAGTTTTCCTCATACCTCTCTTTCTCCTCTTTCTTTTTTACTTTTCACACAGGGTATTGTGTATTTCACTCTTACAGTTCTTGTACATTTTTCCTTTTTTGTTTCCCAAATCTGAAAAAATTCAAATACCAGCCCTCTATGTTTTGGAGACAGGCAAAAAGGACTGCTTTGGAGAAAAAAGAAATAGCTTTTGGTCCATGTCAGAAAAACCTTTTTCCATCCAATGGTTAGGGTTATTATGGTATTTCATTATTTTAATTTATAGCATTATTGAATTCAAATATACAAGCTTGATGCCTATTTGCGGTAATGTAAGTTGTGGTGTAACCAGAGCTCTTTAGAACTTTAACTACTGTCTCTGTGCAAATTCAAGCTTCACCACTAAAGAGCTGATTTTTAACCAGCAGCTTCCAAAACCGCATTTAAACATTTTTCCATGTGACTTTATATTAGCTTGGGAAAAGTTAGGTAAGTTGGTTGTAATGAGAAATCATCATCCACAAATCGAAAATGACATACTTGCCAATGTAAAACAGTGATTAAAACATAACAAGGCTTTTTCCTAAGTAGGGATGGGTATCGAAACCCGGTTCTTGTTGAGAACCGGTTCCCACTGTTTCAATTCCTTGGAATTGTTTGCCATTTTTGCAAACGATTCCCTTATCGATTCCAGTCGCCCGAATGACGTCACCACGTTGCGGAGCGTCATTTACCTGGCAGGTAAACCTGGCAGGCTTAAACGCTCAAAAGTTTGGTTATACTTTACGAGAACGGATGACAACTTGCAATACTTGCAAAGTAGATATTTAATTTAAGGGAGGAAACACTACGAATATGCAAAAGCATTTGCTCACAAAACACGCGATGACCTTAAATGAATGTCGTGTTTTTAATTCCTCTCCTAACGTTTGCACGTCCTCTCCCGTTAATGCGGCAGGTAAATAATCAACTAACAGTGCATATTATGTTAGCGCGATCTGCCTTGTTACAAAACCTGCCATTACTGTGCATTTAGGTGACCATGATGAGAGACAGACAGAGTCTGGCTGGCTCAGATGCTGGCAGTTCTCGCTGCAGTCTACCGGTAGCGTCTCCTTTCAGGCCAGGATAGACGAATTTCACCGAGCAGTGACTAAGTTTGTGGTAAAAGGCTTGCACCCATTTGCCACAGAAGATGCCCCCGATTTTCGGTAAGTGAATGTGTTTAATGTTGGCAGGGACATTACTGGATATTCTTGTGTAATTGCTACAGAACAATTTATGTTATACTTTGTTATTGCTACAGAAGAATATTTATTTTATTATTTTACATTTACAATTTTTTTTCCTGGGGACCCTGTGACACCCCATTGAAGAGCCGTAGGTTGTGGATCTTTTAAGATCTCACTGTTGGTTTTGTAAGGCCATGTTACTCCTAAATTTCTATCTTGTTCAAAGAGAAGATATAAAACATTAATCGACCTTAGTGTTCTCCTTTTTTAAAAAGAATCGATAAAGAATCGAATCGTTAAACAGAATCGAAAATGGAATCGGAATCGTGAAAATCTTATCAATACCCATCCCTAGTCCTAAGGGCGAAAACTGCCTTAGAAACTTCAATTCAATTTTATTTATATAGCGCCAAATCACAACAACAGTCGCCTCAAGGAGCTTTATATTGCATAGTAGATCGCACAATACATACAAAGAAAAACCCAACAATCATATGACCCCCTATGAACAAGCACTTTGGCGACAGTGGGAAGGAAAAACTCCCTTTTAACAGGAAGAAACCTCCGGCAGAACCAGGATCTATAACAAAGAATCTGGCATGTTACTTCCAGTCACAGTAAATTACTTTGGTACTGGTGATTGCTTTTACAAATAAACCAATTCAATCAAATGTCAAGAATTGTTTAGATACATGTGAATTTATACTGTCACAAGTCAAATGGCTAAAAGTTTAACATTTCACTTATTTGGCATATTTGGCTAAATATAAATTCAGATAAGATAAATATTTACCTAGTGTCAGCTTCTTGCCTAGTCAGCACTACATAATCCAATCTAATAAAAAATTATAAATGTAGAAAATGCACATTTTAGGTCTTGCCCACACAAGAAATGAAACAAATTTACAACTCTTAAACTTTTTTTGTTGTAAAGGTTCCTCTCATTAATTAAAACAATTTAAGCCACCATAACTTAAAGCTGCGGTTTTATCCAGTCTTCCTTCTCTCTCCTCAACCGGTCACGGCAGATGGCCCCACCTCTCCCTTGGCCTGGTTCTGCTGGAAGTTTCTTCCTGTTAAAAGGGAGTTTTTCCTTCCCACTGTCGCCAAAGTGTTTGCTCATAGGGGTCATATGATTGTTGGGTTTTTCTCTGTATGTATTATTGTAGCTTACAAGATAAAGTCCCTTGAGGCGACTGTTATAGTGATTTGGCGGTATATAAATAAAATTGAACTCTTGGCACACACTACCAACAGACTAAAAAACCTTATTTAAGTGTATTTTAATGCTAAAGTTTCTGTAATATTACATAAGGAGTCTTTATTTAAGTAAACTACCTATTGTCTAAGGAGCTTGGAAAGAAAAGTGTCTGGACTCCTTTAAGTTTCCTTGGAGACATTTCATCCAAGAAGCTTCTTCAGTTTTAAGGGCAATTGGTGGAGAGTCCAAGATTTTAAGCCCTATGGGAGTGTCCCCAAGTGGGTCATGGACCCCCTATTGATCCTCTACCTAATCACATGAACCAAGGTGTGAAAATGGGTGTAGGTCACAATCAGCCAAGGTTCTGGGTTAACCCACTGTAAAATCTAGCCCCACCCTATCATGTGATTTATTGAGGTCAATTGGCCCAGGATGTGAGTGGGCATTAAGGTGTCTGAGAAGGGATCTCAAAACTGGATTATAGATGGCAGACAGTTGGTGTCGTAAGCCCCGCCCTCTGTTCAAAGATGGTCGTTCACAGTGGACATAGATGGCTTCTTTCACTCCTCTTTCAAACTATCTGTCTTCTCTTTCCATAATGTGAACATTGACATCCTCAAAAGAGTGACCTTTGTCCATTAGATGCAGATGGACTACCTGTTAATCGTTTGATCAAAACAAAATCCAACACCTACCCAAAGTCTGTGTTGCCAATGATCTGGTGAATTTTAACAGATGAGAATGTAGCTAAAACATTTCCTAACCCTAAACATGGGTAAAGTTGCGTAGAAAGTTATTCGTGTAGGTAATGATTTTATTAGAAAGTATATATATAAACTGTCTTACCCTCTGAGCAGTCCTCTCCAATCAATCCTTCATCACAGACACACACTCCATTCTCACAGCGCCCCTGGTTGTGGCAGTCTTCTGGGCAGGTTAATATGGAGCAGTCTGGGCCAGTGAATCCCTCATAGCACACACAGCTGCCATCTACACAGTAGCCTCTATCTAGGCAGTTCTTGGGACATGTCTTCTCACCGCAGTCCTCACCAGTGAAACCCTTATGACAAACGCACTGTCCGTTCACACAGTGACCACGGTCCAGGCAGTTATTGGGGCAGGTCAACTCACCACAGTCTTTCCCTGTAAAGCCAGTGAAACACACACACTTGCCGTCCACACAGTCTCCACGGCCCATGCAATCTTTAGGACAGGTCTTGATGCTGCAGTCCTCACCAGCATAACCTTTCTCGCATATGCACTGCCCGTTCACACAGTGACCACGGTCCAGGCAGTTATTGGGGCAGGTCAACTCACCACAGTCTTTCCCTGTAAAGCCGGTGAAACACACACACTCACCGTCCACACACTCTCCATGTCCCATGCAGTCTTTAGGACAGGTCTTGATGCTGCAGTCCTCACCAGCATAACCTTTCTCGCAAACACACTGCCCATTCACACAGTGGCCACGGTCTTGACAATTGTTGGGGCAGGAGAGTTCACTACAGTCTTCACCTTGATATCCTAGGTCGCATACACATTCTCCATTAATGCACTGTCCCCTGTTGCTGCAGTTGTCAGGACATGAGAGGACTGAGCAATCTTCACCTTCAAATCCGGGATCACAGATGCACTTCCCGTTGAAGCAGTGACCTTTCTCGCTGCAGTCTTTGGGGCAGGTGAGCTTAGAGCAGTCCTCACCAGTGTATCCAGTGTGACACACACATTGGCCATTCACACAGATCCCGTGGTCGTTACAGTTGCCCGGACAAGTGAGCTCACCGCAGTCCTCCCCAGTGTAGCCCTCTTCACAGTAGCAGGTACCATTAATGCAGCGTCCTCTATCATAACAGTCGTTTGGACAGATGAGTTCAGAACAGTCGAAACCCGCCCATGGATGGTCGCAGATGCACTCATCGTCCACACAGCGTCCGCGGCCCAGGCAGTTGTTGAGACAGTTGGTCTGAGAACAGTCCTCACCGATAAAACCGTCTTCGCAGAGGCAGGACCCATCAACACAGTGACCGTAGTCGCCACAGTCCAGCAGGCAGAGCTCAATGCTGCAGTCATCCCCGCCAAAGCCCTCAAAGCATTCACATTTGCCATCTACACAGCGCCCCTGGTCCTGGCAGTCACTGGGGCACTCAGGTTCAGTGCAGTTGGGGCCCTTCCATCCAGGCTCACATACGCAACTACAGGTGTCAGTACTCCAGTTTCCGCGCCCGTTGCAGTAGGGCTTTGAGGACACTTCACCTGAGAAATGGCAAAAAAGAGAAGGATTTCCATTTAAATTATTGCAAATGTGCACTCCTCATCCTCCAGTTTGGCACTGCTTTACTTAGTCCTGTAATAATATTTTTTGTAAAATTATGAAACAAACAGAAGCTACTGTGTTAAAAGTGAAGTCTAAGTAATTGGAGTCTCTGCCCAGCAAACATGGCAGAAACACTGACATCATCTTCTAAACAAGAAACATTAACATCATTTTAATTTAATGAAGAAATTAAATGCATATGCCCTTTGTTTAAAGTAACAATACCTGATGACTAACTTGGTTACTAAATGGTTATGAACAGATGGCCATACAATATAGAACCTGGAAACAAAATTGTAATTATGACTGACAAGTCAGTGCTGCTGTTGCCCCATATCACCAGCTCCTTCTTTAACCCCTCTACCACCCTAACATCCACCTGAAGTCTGGGAAATAATTACTCATCACTCCCCAATTAAAAATTTTATATTGGTAAGGAGATATAAGCTCAAAGCGCAGGCACCAAACTTTATATTTTTCTGCTCTAAATATTCAACTCAACCATAAGTTGTCTGGATGAAACTGAATTTGGACTGCACAATTATGTACTTCAATAACAGTTAGTTGTTTTATTTATTTATTTTTTTTGATAACCGGCTACTGTCTACAGATTAGTTGCCTGGCAATTTTTTTTTTTGATGGGCAGTCTTGAGAGATGAAAAACATTTGTGCATGTCATACAAATCCTCCATCCATCTGCTTATCCTTTTTCAGAGTCAGGTACACCTTCAGGTTTCAGGTACACCTGCCTCTCGCCCTAAGACGTCAATCTGTTGTAAGGCTAACACATGGACAACCATTTCCACTCACGTTCACTTCCGCATTCACACCTATGGGAAAAATTGAGTTTCCAAGTAACCTATCCCCACTAACTGCATGTCTTTGGACTGTGGGAGGAAGCCAGAGGAGAGGACGCATGCGAACACGGGGAGATCATGCAAACTCCACACAGAAAGACCCTGGCCTGATGGTGGAATTGAATTCAGGACCTTCTTGCTGTGAGGCAACAGTACTAACCACCGTGCTGCCCTATGTCGATGGCATAGGACTTTTATGTCATATAAGTCAGTATAGCTTATGTGCCATATAAGTCATACTCACTTCAAATATGCAATACCATAGACTTTTAAAGAAATCTACCTTGGACAGCTTTAACTTAACTCCCACCTAGTTTGACATCAGAAAAGGACATAAAGATGCATACTTGCATATTATTATAGATGTTGCAAGACAAATTCTTCTCTTCCCTAATCCACATATGGTTTCTCAAACTTCTCTTCCTGGGAAGAATTTTTTAAAACTGCTATTTTCAGTGACCAAAAATGCCTCTTTTGTGTAAAATTTTCAATAATACATTTCAGTACGACAACTGGGATACAGCGCGCACCTCCCCCCCCCCGCGACCCTGTGAAAAGTGGATGGATGGATGGATGGATGGGACACTTCAGTAGATTGTAGATAGATATGTTGGGGAACATGGTGGCTTCCACAAACTGCTGCTCACTCATATTTATTTTTAATAGGTTAATTAAAAGAGAATTATTTTTTTTTTATCAAATAACCTCAAAGATTTATTGAGTGCACCTTTAAGGACAAAAGCTTTTTCTGTGCATTTTTGCCGATGTTTATTAAAATGCCTGTACACATGTGAGCCTTGAGCCTATATGTACAGTAAACACACTGTCATTATAACACTTGTAATTACAGTGAGTGCATATACAGTAACAGATGTAGACTTACCTGTAACTTGAGCTCCACAGCAACCTGCTCCACTGGTACAGTGCTCCCTCAGACTAGACAGCTCTGACTCCAGCATCTCTAGCCTGCTCAGGATAGCCTTGATGTCTGGCAGCTGGTTTTCACAGCCGCATGCCTGCTTGGGGATATTGATGCGATGGGTGAAAACGATCTGATTGTCACCATCCATCGTGTGTTCCATGTGCTCGGTGTTCTGCATCTCCATTGGGACGGTCTTGTGCTTGAGGTCAGTACCGCCTGGTGAGTCAAGGTCCACAGAGCAGAGCGACGTGGAGGGGACGTTGATGTTGTAGACATGGTTGAAAACTACTGGCTGGTCAGGATGGGGGAGTGTGAGGTTCTCCTGGGTTTTCTTCGGCATCAGAGCCTCTCTGCGATGGCGGATGACATTCCTGACAAGGCCAGCAGTGGCAAACTGGAGGATGAGGGCCACAGTTAAGAAGCCCAAAAAGAAACTTCTCATTCCCATGATGACACCCTGCCACTGCAGCTTATGAGTTTAGTAGCAAATAGGTATTCCCTTCCAGATTCCTATAGGAAAGAGTAAGTACAAACAAACAGAGGATCAATTTTGGGAAAGAAATTAGGTTTGTCTCTTTATTACATTCACATGTAAAAAAAAAACACATGTATTTATACATCTATCTATTGATAGAATAAACTAAAAAGTCACATGATTGCACACACATACATATGTACATTTTTGCTGGTTCCAATAGTTTGTATTTTAAAAATTCTGTTGTTCATTGTCTGACTATGCTGCTTTTTTTCTTTTTCTCTTTCTCAACATTCCACAACTGTTCACAAGCGATAGCTACACCTCCCTTATCCAGGTTCTTCTGGAGGACTCATCCTCTTTGTCCCTACAGTCACTAAGTGCTTGGTGCTTTTTTTTGGGTTGTTTGACAGAAATATGATAATAACACCTCCCCCTACCTGCCTCTAACAAATTCCCATCTCTATTCTTGTTGCTACCACTTACCCGTTTTTGCCCCTCTGCTCTCAATAGACGAGACATACACCCTGTTGTTTCCAGGGAAGGATCAAGGGCTGGCCTGTGACCTTAGGGATCTAAGTGAAGCATTCATGAAGACGAGCTGTCATGACACAAACAACCCCAATAATACCTGCACGGTGTAGAACCTCTTCTATTCCCCCCAGCCCAGAACACAAACCAAGCTGACAGATTAATACTGGTGTATAGCTAAACCATCTGTGGTCTTTCTATAAAAGCACAGAGGGCCTGGATGAACTTCCTTTCCACTCCTGCAAACCAGCAGGTCAGCATTCCCGGAGCGCTCCCCCTTGAAAGCCAATTGGTTTTCTTTTAGTTCTGTAACTTGATTCTTAATGCTTCTGAAACATGATTCTTTAAAAAGCTCTGCTGGAAAATGTGCTGAGTTTGTGGGATTAAAACAAAAAAACAAAACAAAACAAACTGTTTATTGCTTTGATCTTATATTAAATTTGAATATACAGGTTTGTTATATGCATGTCTTTGTTATAGAGCTTTAAAAAGTGTACACAATAAGGTGTTGTCATCCCATTTCCAGACCCTAAAATCTATCAGGTCATCAGCAATATGTCTATGGTGAGGGATGGGTTTTGTTCTGGCCACATACAATGTACATTTTCAGAAACCAGAATATGCTGCACATCAAATCAAATCAGTTTTTGGCATTTGTTTTACTGTTAAATATTTTCATATTTGCGTGCTCAAAATCATTGAAAATTGTCTTAAAAGAGGTTGAACCCTTTGTCTAAATCTTTGCTAATTGGTGTTGGTGAACTTGGTAGATGTAAAGAATTTAAAGCATTTTGGTTCTTGTTTTTCTTTTACATGCAGAAATGTAAAGTAAAGTAAATTTCCTGGCCCTTTCAGCAATTGGAACCAAGAGGATAACAGAAAACCACAAATATAGATTCCATGCATCACCACAGACTCGCTACTTTTTGAGGAGCTTGGCTTAGGTTGAGTTTATATAATTGTGCTTTTTCTCCACCTTGTCAGAGATGCTGACACTGATCCTTTCCTACCTTTAATAAAAACCAGTGTTTGCCTTGGCTACTTTAAAGGTTAATGGCAGCAGTTAGAAGTCAACATGAAAATGTCTAGCTAAGCAGACACAAAAATGTGTGATTGCAGTGGAATATGTATGGAGGGGTTTAATTTGCTCTCCTCTCTCTAGACTTAGTTGCAATGATGTGGGATTCAAGATCATCTTAACTGGCCATTTTCACATCCACAGGGTGACAGTCAGCAGGTAACATTCCACTTGTTCTCTTCATCTCAGCCTGACGCATGATTAGGCAAGCTGACAGATGAGCTCAGCTTGGAAGGATCCCACAGCTTCACCCCCTACTCAGCCACAACATTACCAGTCCCATGATTAGACAGACAGGGATGAACGCCTCCATGATGGGTAGACTGTAAAAGTTCTAATATGGGAGTGCTGAAGATCTGGGCCCTCAGGGGTGTGAAAGCTCCCCCCACCATCCTCCTGTCTCCACACACACAAGACACTAATACAGTCACACTGCTGTGCCCAAGCATCACAAACTAGGGATTAAATCAACAAAATAGCCAGAAAATTGCTTTGAGTTGCTGCTAAGGTTTTAGTTCTGGGCGGATGGTTGGCTTTCTCACTTTGAAGGCTGGCTGCTCTCCACATGGACCTTTAAGAGAAACCAACCCCCAGAGACCAAAGTGGGCTTTGTACGAGCTCTGTGGCTCTGGCAAAAGTTGGCTTTACTTAGAAATAGATGAAGAGAAGAAACTTCCACTGAGCCCTTGAAATATTTTGATTTGATCTTTCTCTTCTTAGTTGCCATAAAGTCGTTTTTAATATGAAGCAGAACAATCAGAATGAGGGAATCTTAGTGTGACTCTGAGAAACACAGAGCTGATCCGTCTGTTTGGACTTCCTTCATGGGCACCCTGTGGTCCTGGCACTATGCTAATGCAGCTGGTTGTTGGCACTGTAGACATGGACTTGATACAATCTGACTGCTGCTGCTTTGTTATTCCCTCACTTAGTTTTGCTGTATAGTTAGCTTCTCAAACAGTAACAAAGCTTGTTGCTTGCCTTGTAGTTGAATGAGAGGAGAATTTCACCCAGGGAAACCTGCTGGCGCACAAGCATTTGGTGCAACTGATCTAAATCGCTCCATTGTGAATGAGCGCTACAGAGACACTTGAAGTTTTATACCTCACACAGAGGAAAACTCTAAACACTTTAGTTTGGGGTTTTGGTCAGTGATGGTAGTGATTAGCTGTCAAAAAGCTAACAAATTGACAATATTTTATTTTCATTCAAAAATAATCCCTTGGCACAATTTTTCATTCAGTATCATCCAAAATGAATTTGATCACAACCTAGTGAGAGCAAGTGCTTTTGCTTTGCTGCTAAAAAGACTCACCTTTACAATCTAGCAGGCTGGGAAACACAATAGCTGGTGACAGCAACAACAAAAATCATGTGATAATGAGACAAATGTTTACTTCAGGCTGCTCTTTCCTTTTTGATTTTGTATATTGTCTGATTTAGACACCAAAACAACTTGGTCCATGTTGGGCATAAGTCATGGCTTGGATTAAAATACACTGTTTCTAGCAGGGATTATCGATTTTTGTACATACTGTGAAGAGAGAGTTCTATACCTGAAGAACTGGGTACACAAGTTTGAATTTATATCGAATTTTCTCTTATCCACACATGGTCAAACGTACACATATAACCCACACTTCTATTTGGTTAAACATTCCTTAGCAAGTTGCAACTTGACCGTACACTTTGATAGCCATCGATGAGCTTTTGACATCGCTCTGGCTGGATATTTTACAACTCTTCTTGAAAGAATAGGTAGAGTTCATTTAAACTGGTTGGTTTCCCTGCATGGACGTGACTTAAACATAGTTAACTTGATTGAGGTTGGGGCTTTAGGAAAGCCATTCAAGAAGCTTAATATTTGCCTGCTTCATCTTCATGTGTTCTTAAATTTTAAAGTCTCGTCTTCACTTGTCCAAAAATACCTCTTGTCATTGCACCCATTGTCTCATCTGACCCTGAATTTTGTCCACATGGGCAGCTGCAAATTTTCGGCAAACTTGCAGGTGTCTATTTTGGAGCAGAAGTTTTTTTCATGTCATGGTCTCAAGCTACAGTAATGTAAAACATGCTTCACTGTGAACTGTAAACTGCTGGTGTTCCAGCAGTTTACAGTTCACAGAGGAGACTTGAGCCTTCGTGAACCATCGAGACTCACAAATATCTGTCACCAATTTCCTCTCATCTGAGTGTGACTGTTTTGGGTGTTCTTCCAGACCTTGGTGAAGTGGTGACAAATCTGAACATTTTGTACTTATATAGAGTTGTTTGAAGTGATGATTTTAGAATCTGTCATTGTTTGCAAATTGCTCCAAGAGTCCTTCCCAAACTGTGTAAATCTACAGTTCTCCATTATAGATCCTGACTGCTGATCAATCCAAATCAGTGCTGTCAAACAAATCCTTTTTATGCTGCAGACAGAAACTAGTATTTGAAGATAATTATGATCACTAAAAAACAGAGTTAACAAAAAGTTGGCCTTGCCAAGTAAGGATATTGGAGAACTTCCAGCACTACTTATTGGAAGATTTAAATGAGTGTATGTATATATATTTTAGTTTATAGGTATACTTTTGACCTTGTGTGTATCAGAAAAAAATACAAAATAAATTCAAACTTCTTTTCAAATTATTTTTAAAGTAATAATTAATGGTGTATATTGTATAATCATTCCACCATTGAAAAGAACAGTTTAAAGAAACAGAATCATGAATCATTTAAACTTCTGACTACAACTGTAAAATGACTTTTTATTGCATCTTCTCTGTACAGCACTCCAAGCATTTTATACAACATGTCTCATCCATCCATTCACACACATATTCACACTGTGTATTGTGTCACAATGCATTCGGAGCGACCCAGGATTCATTATCATGCCCAACGATACTTTGCATCCAGGAATCAAACCACAAATCTTCCACATGCTCCAACTTCTGAGTCGTAGCTACCCGCTATATCGAAATCATATAATTTGTGAAGTCTGTACAGTTTCCTCTGAAACAGAATTTGCAGCAAGTTTGGAGTGGCCTTTCACTTTAATATGCAAAGCATGTGGTGACCTGCTGACTTTAACTAACTGCTAGAATCTGAATTTTGGCAAAAGCTGGAGCAAGACTTTTCAAAAGAGCAGACAGAGTGGAGCTCCATCTCTTTTGCCGTGATATCATTGGCTGGCTCGATCATTGCCACATTTGAACCACATCATGCACTCATCATCTCACCTGTTCATTCATCCCTTATCCCACCTTACACAAGGAAACAAGCCAAAACTGATGGCTTCTGGGCCTGTCTACTAACAGTGCATCTCCCCAGCCATTCTTCACTCTGCCATCAGGCTTTTACGCAGTTCAGCAAAACAGCCTCATCGACCATAAAAAGAAGGCAGAAAGAGAAATATAGTGTGTGTCCTCCAAAGCACGA